AAAAATTTGGAGCCTTATAGATTTTTTCAGCTCCCCTGTTGAGCGCTCATTATAGTTCTAATCCTCTCGAAATTGATTATTTACATTTTTTTGCATTGCTTCTCCAATTATTGGCCAATTCACGTTCTATTCTCAACCGCGCACATACATGGATATCAAGTCGTTATACTAAAATCATGGAATTTTTTATTTTTTAATAGAGCTGGGGTCCCGACATTTTTAATGAAAATGTGAATTTTCTCGATATATCTTTTACTGCTGAATACTAAGTTTGCTGTTCAGGCCCCAACAGTGCGCGCTGAGGAAAATGAATGAGTCATATTGCCCCAATAGTGACACGCAATTTTCACTTAACACTAATGCAACGTTTTACCGGGACTAACTTGTTCAAGATAACTCGCATAATGGCAAAAATTAATCGCTATTGGGACAAAGTCCCTTCATTTATTCGAGTGCCCGGCCACACCTCCAGTCTTGAGTTCAAAGTTGCAGAGCAGTCACGCCCTCGGGACCAGGGCCAGCCCGGCAAAAAAATATAGGCGTTTTATGGCCGGCCGCCATCGGTTGTTTATTGGCCACCGATATCTCGTTAATCTTTTAAATTTTGCGTGAAAATGCGAGGTTCTCTCTAGATCCCCAAAATTAGAGAATATATTAATTCCATACAACGACGGATTCTCTTCAATTAAATGCATTCTCACAAATATTACTCTAATTTGTGAGCAAAATTTTTTAATCTTCACAAAAATTGGATATAGAGTGCGCTTAGGCTTATAAAATTGAATGGTGCAATATGAAAATGTAATCACCCTCATTAATGCAGGAAGAAAATATTTAGTTGTCTAGTTATCAGGGTATCATTATTTTCTAAGTACTCCGATAACAGCTGTATTATTATTAACATAACAATATCTCAGTACAATTTGTACAATATGTGCAACATAATATAATTTTTGATAATAATCATTACCATAATCATCGCACTCGGTATCCAGTAGTATATTAATTATGAAATTAAAAACTCAGCTAGTTACGTTCATTTCGTACTCATCGAATGCATGCGTACTAATCGAAGAATTTCGTACTCAGCGAAAAATTTCGTACACATCGAAGAATTTCGTACTCTGCGAAGAATTTTCGTACTCAGCGAAGAATTTCGCACTCAGCGAAGAATTTCGTACCCATCGAAGAATTTCCTCCTCATCGATCGAAGACTTTCGTACTCCGCGAAGAATTTCGTACTCATCGAAGAATTTCGTTCTCAGCGAAGAATTTCGTACTCAGCTAAGAATTTCGTATTCATCGAAGAATTTCGTACTCGGCAAAGAATTTCGTACTCAGCGAAAAATTTCATACTCAGCGAAGAATTTCGTACTCAGCGAAGAATTTTGTACTCAGCGAAGATTTTGTACTCAGCGAAGAATTTCGTACTCGGCAAAGAATTGCGTACTCAGCGAAGAATTTCGTACTCAGCGAAGAATTTCGTACTCAGAGAAGAATTTCGTACTCAGCGAAGAATTTCGTACTCGGCAAAGAATTGCGTACTCAGCGAAGAATTTCGTACTCGGCAAAGAATTGCGTACTCAGCGAAGAATTGCGTACTCAGCGAAGAATTTCGTACTCATCGAATAATTTCGTATTCAACGAAGAATTTCGTATTCATCGAAGAATTTCGTACTCAGCGAAGAATTTCGTATTCATCGAAGAATTTCGTACTCGGCAAAGAATTGCGTACTCAGCGAAGAATTGCGTACTCAGCGAAGAATTTCGTACTCAGCGAAGAATTTCGTACTCAGCGAAGAATTTCGTACTCAGCGAAGAATTTCGTACTCAGCGAAGAATTTTGTACTCATCGAAGTATTTCGTATTCAACGAAGAATTTCGTATTCATCGCAGAATTTCGTACTCCTCGATTACTTTCATACTCATCGAATACTCCTTGCACCAAGCCGCCCTATATCAATTAAAATCTGAACTTGTAGTCTTAACTTAATCAGACCAACTAAAATTCTCAACGAGTTGTTCAGGCACGAAAAGATCCTCGGGGATTGCGGCCAAGAATGTGTGAATTAATTACCAGCGCTGAATTCTTCATTGCTTACTCGGACCTGCAGCAAAGTTTCAGGCTTGAAAGTCCCTGCTATGATATTTTTCTCGAAATATTCACACCAGGATCCTTTGTAGCCCGGGAAATATTATATAACTTTACACTTGATCAAAGAATTACTGTTTTATTCAAGATGTGCGTAAGCAATTATGGGTTTAATGATCGATTTTTAAGGAAGATTCGGAAACTTTAGCTCTTTAATCAAGCATACGAATTGTTACCTGGTCTGCTAGAAGTTATAGAATTTCATAACTGATTGCTCTTATTTTCGCTCCAAAATTATGCACAGTAAATATTAGTCATAATCATTGAAATAGGTGTAAATTTAGTCCCACATCTATCAGGTGTTAAAATTGAACTTCATTATCGAAATTTTTATTATAGAATTGATTTCAAAACTTTTCCTCAAGAATACTTACATTTTGACAACCTTCAGGTAGTAAAAATGCAAGAGATAATAATAATAATAATAATAGAATAATAATAACGATAATAATGAAAAAAATAATACAAATAATAATAATAATAAGTATAATAACAATAATATTAATAATAATAATAATAATAATAATAGTAATATTCCCGTCATGTACGCGAACAAGAATTGTATTGGGATTTCAATGACTCCAGATCTGGTAGCCTGGATACACCCAGCGGGACTCAATAACAATCACACAAAGAAATAAGCGGAACTGTCCAAGGAGCCCTGAATCAGGAAGGGGTCTTCCTGATTCAGTTCACCTGGCAAAGAAGCGTATCAGTAATACGGCTGGTCTCTGTTGGTGCTGTGGATGTTAACGCGCATCGTTATTTGGACCATATGATTCATTCATTTTTACGCGTGTAACTCTCTAATGTGTTTTTGTTCTCCAGATATCGAAGGTGAAATTTATCTCTAATTCGTTCACATTCGATGTAATGCGATGCATAATATTGGTGGTGAACGTCTTGAAAAAAATAGATTATTGGGCAGAATTTTCCTTTGAAATGTTATCTTTTCATTTCGCTATTTTCTCATCACTAACATTGTATAGAACTTATTTATTTGTGGCTGGAAATTAAACTCTGGAAGTGTTTGGATCGAAAAAAATCTATGCTTGAAATTTTCATATGCATTCTTGATTCGTCATTCTTTTTTTAAATTAAAAAAAAAATACTACTTCAAATGTCGAGCACAATTATTCGGGTATCTCATTGACGATGCGCTTTAAAAAATGCGAATATCAAGACAGCTGTCAATTGGCGATATAGCATATTTTTCTCCAATTTATCATCAGTAATCTGTTTAATGAATTCACTTAAGATCTTGCCAGCCTTTGATGTCGAATTTAGGAGGGAATTATTAGTTTATCAATTAATTTTATGGGTAATTTGTAAATAAATATACTAACTTGTAAAATTTGTTTAGGTTGTTTAATTTAACGGCTTATTTTTCGGTGATCATGTTAGAAAAGGGTTTAATTGAAATCAATTGAAGTGTTTCAAAAATCAAAATTAGAAAAGGATTCATCTTAGAATTCATTTATAATTAATACCTAATTCGAACAGAATGGAAAACGTTGTTAATTTTTAGCGCACGATGCTTTTTTCTAATAATGGACCTGACTTACGAGTTAAAAGTTAGCTAAGTAACAGAAATTACGCATTAAAAAAGCAAAATAAATATTTTATTCGTTATGAATATTGAGAAATAATATAGATTTTTTAGAGCAGTTATCCTTCACACACAACAATGAAACAGCGCTCCTTTTATAGATAATTTTGGAGGTTTCGATTCACGTAATTCAGAGAATGAACTGAGATAATTAATTTTATTTATTTTCTTTGCATCTCCAGTTGAATAAAAAGTCTCATTATTTTTACTTCGCCTTTATTGACTTTGGCCTCAGGCTTCAATACGAGCTCAGCAAATTTCAGGAGAGCTGGAAGTGCAATAAGTCCCTTACAATTTGGATGTCACTGATGATTTAATTTTACATAACATGTATATAATTCCAAAATTTATTTCTTATATCAATAATTACATGAAAAAAATTTACAAACCTTCATATTTGAAATTATTTAAAGGCAATACTATTCATTGCTAGGGCACTCATTAACGAACTCAATGATGCTATTAACCCTTTTCAGCCCCAATTATTTTTTTTCTTTAAATTTCATTTTTTATCAAATTTTTGGTGTTGGCTCCACCTAATTGATTAGGAAAACGTCTCAGTTTGCTTTTCTCTACAATAGTATTGCTAGAATACGATGTGCCATATATGTACCACTGAGCATATCCAAGTACATTTTTTTTGTTGAAAGAAAAAACAACCGTGTCTGAAATGCACTTATATATTTGTAAATTGACATGTTATATTACAGTTTTAGGATATTGCAAATTTAAAATTAACAAAACATAACGTCTTCAATATTTTTTTGCAATATTATTCCAAATACTGTAAAATGGCGAAACCAAAACAAATATTTGATCCATCGTGTGAACTACAAATTTTCTAATTAGCATTACATTGTGTTCAAGCACATTATTTCGAGTATCAAATTGTGTTCAAATACATAATACTTTAAGTTGTATTTTTACCTTTTACATGTAAAAGGTAAAAAGCGAGATATTGATCAGAATGTAATTACTCAGAACATATCATTATTTGGTATGAAATGGAAGATTACATGCCAAGCAGAGGCCTGCATTACAATTGCAACACTGAACGAAAGGTCTTATCTTACATCCTTCTCCAGCACATCTTCTTTTGTTGTCTTGTGTTTCTGCAAAATAATGTTTTATTCCATCAAAACGAATATCATCTCAATCGTTTGTCACCCTTTGTTGAGTAGGATGGCGGTCTCCCAGCTCCTTTCAAAGCTTCTTCTTCTCATAGTCTGAGAGACAGCTTCATTTCTTGTCACAGATGAATTTCTCCAAAAACATCCTCCGAGAAGATAAAGGAACGATACCAGACACTATCAAAATTCCAAGGAACACTTTCATTTCATCTTTGCTTACCAAGAAATCTGTTTCACCTTTGAAAGTTGCATAGACAATTGTCTGATCCACTAGCAAATTCCACACATCATCATCAAAAAATAGTTCAAAAAGTTCAACCGGAGTAAAATCTCTATATTTTGCATAATTTGCCTCAGGAAATATGCGGTCACCAGGTGTGAGTGAAGTGCCAAGACTACATTTTGGAGTCTTATAGTTATTGATAGGCGAAGAATCATGAGCCTCACCATCATCTTCAGTAGTACTACGTTCGTTGTGGAAAAAAGCTTCATCATTGCCACTCAGTTGATCTTCACAATCATCTTCAGTCGTACGTCGTCCGTCATTGAATACAGCTTCAGCATTACCAGTCAGTTGTCTGCCGGACAAATTATCTATCAATCCACTATCACTATCCACTTCATCAGCAGAGTCTTCATCAGTCAATAGGCCGGGATCATTAGGCTCAATATAAACGTCTGCATGGCTCTCATCTTCTTCTAATATACCTAATATCTCGTGCATAGTCAGGAATCTGAAATATGAAACCTAAAATGGATTTAGAACATGCTAGAATTTTGATATTCGTAAATATGTGTACTCAGAAAAATGTACCTGCATTAGCTCAGCGAACCATATATGGCACAGCAAATATAAAACGATATCCAGAAAAAATAATGCATTAGACAAATGTAAAAGTTAACTGGAGAGATCAGTTTATTACTTGTTCAACATATGCAGTTACCAAAAGAACCTGGTTCTCAAAGAAATGTACAAAATATACTTACTTTCCCCTAGAAGCCATTATTTTTGGCAGAGCACAGCGACACCTATTTTCAACGTGACAGCAGAGCACAAACTGGCAGGCTTAAGGGGTTGTACTCATATGAACATGTTGTGGCAAGTTTGGTGTGCATTTCCAGTACACTTGTTCAGGCTTGTCTCAACCAAGAGCGATGTATGATGCAATATTATATCATGCTGTTTAAAGTACCATATATGTACCACTGAGCTGAAAAGGGTTAAAGCGTCAATATAAGTAATACAGGAGAACTAATTCTAATTACTCATTTTCAAATAACTCGAAGGCGAATGAATAATATATTATTCAAGGAGTCTTTATTGAATTTTAGCATGTGAGGCATATGTGCTACCTGTAGATAAGAAACTAAATGTACTAAAATAATATGCATTTCTGCTTTGACGTCTTAAGTTTTGCCGGCAGTGCATAACTGAAATACAAGACATGCTAACAGTCTTGTTAACTATGTAAATTGATATCAAGAACTAAATTAAGACTTCTGACAGTTTGTGAAGCCCCACAAATTGAATGAATACTGCGGCCATCATCTTAGTTCAACAACACTACGCAGTTCTAAGCGATGAATCTTAGTCACTCCACGTGGCTGAGTTTGCAGGGTTTCATCACTAATTATAGAGGCTGAAAAGGTATGGAACGTGAATAAAAATATGCTCAAAATATGAGCAATGATCATACAGCAGCTTGAAGCCTTGAACGCAAGCTAAAGTTCAATTTCCTTATACAAATTTATCTTCCTGCATGCAAAATAATAAAGATTTCATTAATAGGTGGAGAACATACTTCAAGTTTTGAAGAGCACTAACTAAGGCGGTAGTTTACATATAAGTACAAGGAAAAGAGCCCTTCCTTGGCCGTGATTCCTCAGCATTCAAGGTGCAATTTCTTTAGGTTTAGTGAGCCCTAGTCATGACATGGGGCAAGAACGACCGATCCTGCGATGCTTTAATGTTTTAGTACAGAGCTTGATGGCCGCAGGTCATCCAGCTATGCATTAATGCTGAACTGCGTCTGGAATTTTCTCTTATGGTTTCATTGAATAGCGCTTTCCTTGTTGGATCTTGAACATGCAAATATATTGATCTTAAAACCTGTGCACCTGAATTCATTATTAACGGGAAATGTTAATAACGGAAAATGAGGTTTTCAATGGAAAATGGGGTCGAAAAAAATAATGGAGCATGTAAAAAGTTTTAGTTCACATAAATTTTACCGATCACCCTATAAAAACAATATTATTCTGATTTTTCTGTTCCGAATTTAATTCTGATCGACGATCTAATTCAACGCAACTATAGCAGGTTCTTTTCTTCCATTGTTCAATTCTTTTTGTAGAACTTATGAGTTTTTACTCCGGATACCGAAACTAGATTTCACCACGCCAGCTTTGATGCGGTTAAGTGAATAGCACATAAACAAAGGTTTGATGATTTCTGGGATTTAACAATGTGTGTGCTTTGAAATAACGCATTTTAGAGCTTTAAAAATGATCCGACATTTTCAGTGACTCATGACAGATCAAGAAACCGCTTTGTTCGAGCAAGAAAAGACATCATGGTTGTCTCGGTTTAAATCATTTGAAAAAGAAACGTAAATATATTGAAATGTAGTTTTATTTACGGATGCCTACAAGGATGATAAAAGGCGCAAATGACAAGCCGAATTTTATTCACAAAGGAAACATTTCTCTGGTGATGTTGGGTCTCAGTTTGCCGGCTGTCGTGTTAACGTCCGGCATTGCTCGAGTTTGTTTACAAATCGTTATTCGGCCTTCGCTTATCAGACTAGTTTACGAGATCGTTAAAGTGAAAATTTACAGTGAAGCTGGTGACACATGATCATTTGTACACAAATTACTTCTTATAGTATTTGAATATAAGTGTTTCACCTCCTGTGTAGGTAGAATTAGTAGAAGCCGCTCTCATGAATGACTTTGCGTAACCTGTGAGCAAAATATTGAATTTTTATTTTCAATGTTGTTCACAATGTAGAAAAGTCACGAAAAATATACTAAATTAAAAATTAAATTAATCATTACATTTTTGAATATTGCAATGTTATAGCGAATCGTGGACAGAGTTAAGACCATAAAATTATGTTCCTCAAGAAACCGAATATTATCAAAGCAAAGCGTCAAGGCTGGCTGACAGTAAGCTTAATAAAATAATTTCGAGATAACGATCATGTCTTCTCCGTCAGCGATTTCTGTTACTAATCCATGGCTTGCCATCATTAATAAAATCATTTTTAAATATGGTTGCCGACAGAATAATTTGACAAGAATTTTATGATGAATTGCTTTCAAATATGGTTGACGATAATCATGTATTTCATATAAATATAATGGTACGTAGGAAGATCGACATTGAGTCTTTTCAAAATATGGTTAGATTTACCCCCTGTATATTTGAGTAACGATGCTCCAACGTCATCCATGGTAAACATGTTTTATGTCGACCGTAGTTGAGTGCAGCTCGTAAGAAGCGAAGCACGCTTTTGTTGCGGAGCCAACCTCTCCCCGAACGTAATCTCATTCCGGTCCACAAAAGAAACGAGCGTCAGAAAATTCGCCTTATCTGCAACACTGAAAATCACCATTTTGAATTCTACTGAAATCGCCACCGAGACAATTTCTCTCATTTGCAGACAACTTCTAAATTACACTCACTACCACAACAAAAATTGAGTTGTGTCGATTTTCCGTAAGTGTAAACTTGAGAATTCGTTTGGAGGTTGAGTTTTTATACTATAATGCAAAAAGATTCTTTCAATGTGCTTACTAAAAGCTCATGCGAGCCATCTTTTTTTTTTGAGAAAACTTCTTTATTATGTTTTTACCGAAATGTAGAAAAAAATGTATATTAATCTTCATGAAATGGATTTCTGGTTTTCAAATTAATTGGTGACGACAATAAAAAATTGCGGAAGTGTTGAAAGACAATGAGCTAGATAAATGTATTAAATTAAAAAAAATCGCCCTCAAGCTGCAAACACCGTGCAAATTGACAATTTTTTCAATAATTTGTATCTAATAAATTGCCAAGTAATTAATTCTTCATATTTCATAAAAATTGAGTCATTTTTATGAAATAAATGGAAATTGATTGACTGATTATCAATATAAAAAAGAGATTATCCTGGCGTTGCTCTCTATAGAATATTCTTGATCAGCCTAAAATTTCATTCAATACAATAAGTAAGCCAATGAAAAAGATTCTAATTTCGAAGTCTATAAGCAAATTCCTACTTCTTTGCCATTCTGGGTTTTCATTTCGCGTACGAACAAACTAAACTCTCATATTAAGTCTGGTTGATATACATTTTGACCGATATTGATTGAAAATATTTCAATGTTATAGCAATCAAATCAGAAGTCAAACGGAGTACCGATTTAATTATTGTTGAACGGTGAACAATCAACCTTCAATTGATATCAGGATAAAAAGAACAAGAAAGAAAGAGAAACTCGTAAATGCCCTGTTTGAAAAATTTATTCATCGTTCTGTAAACGGAAAGTAAATGAATTTTATCTTAGAAAGAATTAGCTACATTCACTAAAATCAACAAAAAATTGCATTTTCATTTTTAAATGAAGTTCGTTTGCAATTCTGTGTGTTATCAGACGTATCGTTCTTACTCCGAACGAATTGCAGCGTTATCCGCTCAATAGCAGGGCCGGTAAATGATGAAGAGCGAATTCCCAATTCCAGAATTGAGAATTAATTCAAACAAATACACAAACGCGCATTCTAAAGGGTGATTAAAACGATGAAATAATGGATAAAATGATGGACGTTTCTTTTACATGAAAAAATCCTGTCTTAAGTTTGACGGGCGAGTGAGAATACGGAACAAAGAACGCGTTTCAATGTTGTTATGTATACGGAGAAGTATGAGCTAAAATACGAAAATTAATAACAAAATTAAAAGTAAAAGATTTTTATAATTTTTCATATTGTCATCAGCATTGTTCTTCAGTTTCCCGTAGAATTGAACTGCTGAATTCATGTTCTGGTGTTTAATAGCTACGAATATAGAGCTGTACACCAAACTTAGGAAAATATTTCCCAAACAGTAAATTTCACGTTCAACGGGGCATATTGGCCGGGTAGACCACAGACTACACGCGTCTTTTCTTTTATATATGGTCTGTTCATATAAATCCGAAGGTGAATCTCATGGTAAAAGTTAGACCGCAGATTAATGCGTCAGATGACATATGTCACACAGGTTTCACGTATTTTACTTTTTATAATCGGTGTATTCAGTAATCCGATGACACGTCCGTCTACGTGTACTCCATTGAAGCAAGAGTGCAGTGTACTCCATTGTGCAGTGCTTTTTAAAGTCCTTCGAAATTTCTCGCGAACCGTCAAGGGCTTGAGCTTCGCAACAGAAGGTTCGATCGTTCAGTATTTGGCACGCTTTTCTGGCTGCTTTTAAGGCACTCTAAAACTTTAAAAGTCCTGTCGGTAAATTTCGATAAGTAGGCATTATCTGCCTGGCCCTTGAAAGTGACGGATTCCTCACAAGTAAAATCTTTTGACGACATCTTCAAAAAACTTGAATGGTTTCTTCAGGTTACTTGTTTGACACTCAAGAAGTTGAGGGAGGACAACAAACTCTGCGGCAAAACAGACATGTTGAAGGAAAATTCTATTAATCGTAAAAAATTTTCAGCCAATGCGTCTTAAAGCAATTTTAGTCGCTTCGAATATTTTTCACTGCCAAGATCATATCCAATATCTCTGGTGGAGAAGCTAGTAATAAGAATCATTTGCATTTTAATTACTCATTAGAATGTTGCGCTTTGCGTTTCATCTATAACAATTCAGTACATTAGAAAATATTTTTTGTCAATAGAAAATAAATATTAATATGGAGCATTCTCATATGTTTAAAAAGCCGCTTCTGTGGGGCTCCGCTAAGACTCTGGACAGTTTTTCCCATCCAAACGTTTGCGCTAGTATTCCTGGAATAGGAATTACGTTCATTTTATGTC